ACCAGGATTTAACAAGAGACTTCCGCAGGGGTCTCTGGTCCACCTTCTTAGCCAAAGTCCGAACAAGGCAAGGACCTGCTGTGGTTGAGGAGGACGACCTCCAGCATTTAGAGACTTTGGCTCTCAATGGGCGAGAGGTAAGTTTCATCTCCTTGGGCAGAAATGCAACTTGCTGACTGCTGGTCAATTAGATCAAAAATATCGCAGCAATTGCACATGCTCTCGCTGAGGCAGATACCGCGCAGGTCAGTTATAAGTATCTGGAGTTAGCAGCGGAATCGAACAAGAAGTTTTCGAAAGAATTTGGCAGGAAGAGCCCTGTTGACGGAATGTATGTCTAACGGCAAAGACTACAAACCTCAGCAAGTCATTCTGCTGTTCATCAGCGGCCCCGGACCTATATAGTGATAATTTCGGTTACTGCGTGATAGTCTTAGGTATTGGAATCGAATCACAGTCTGCAATGCTCTTATAATGATCTTAAAAATGGTATACCATTCCGAGAGCGTCTCAAGTTTGAAGGAAACACACAGTTTAGAAAACGATTCAAGATGGGCGGTGTCGAAGCATATGAATGAAGAGCGCACTTCGCCACGGGATTTATAGGCGATAATAGAAATTTGGATATCAAGAACATGATCGCTAATTTAATAGGTGGCAAATAGGTTTCCTTATCACGCGTGATCGGAAGGTGAAAGATGAAGCAACTCAAATGCTGTGTGATCATAGGCTTCCGGGTGCCATGTGCGGATAGGAGTAGATATTAGCAATAGTACTTGCCTTTCTCACCTTTGCGAGATGGCCATACCGTGCATTTCCAGACGTTAGCTCAAGGGCACGAGAGCGCTTCAACCGTTCCAGGTCTTCCAAGTCAATGACAATCAAACGGTTACCTAGGTCATCCCACAACATATTGCGCCACTCACTGTCGCGGTGGACCACTCCATGCGAACGGAAGGCAGCCAAGGCTTTTTCGCGCTCTTGGTGAAAAAAAATCGTGTTCTCGTCATTGATTGCGTGCTGGAGTCTCCTCCCCGACCAGCTGAGAATCATCATCTGCTCCATTAGCTCGCCATGGTACCAATATGAAACTCGTGGCGTAAAGGTACCAAGGCAAACAGGAATAGTTTGACCCTGCATACTCCTGAGGTAGCTATAATTGTCTGCTTCTACTTGAAGGCGATGTTGCTTTTCCAAGGTCGTTGCTTTGATCATGACAGTGTATCCGCGCGAAAGAAGGGTAGCTTTGATAAGATATCCAGTCCGACCACAGATATGGAGCGGTTCGAAACCGAGGTCTCGATCGCGGGCAAGTTGGCGATAAAGCCGGCGTGTGAACTCTTGTGGTCCCATGCTGTGTCTCTGGCCACCGTGAAATTTCCAATTGGGGCATGTCTTATCCAAAGGGCCTCGGTTAACTATGCCATGGATGCAAGAAATGGTACAGTATGGTCGTGTGGAATGCCTTTCTTTTTGAGAAGTCTGTTTGTTGTTCCGGCCAGCTCGCGTCTTTTCGCTCTCCCTGCTTGATTGGCCTTTACTGCCTCGGTCGCGGCTCGATCGGCTGCGCGACGCTGCTGCTGCCGTTGGAGAATATGATTCCTCCTCACTGCTGTTGCCTTCAGTCGAGGAGTGCTTCGGTGTAGATACACCTGGTTGACAACGAGTGCGAGAGCGTGTGTTGTGTATTTTCCGATCTCGTTTCCAGTGAGAGGGCCGATAATTAGAGGCCCGCGGGTCTTTGCGAAGAGTTTCGGGGATTTCCCTCAACACGTCCAAATATTCAACTTCCCAGGTTGTCAGCTTGTTGTGCGCCGCATCGTGCCATTCTTGAGAAGGAGTATCGGCGATCAGTGCCTGAAGGGTGAACGCAAGAACCTGGCCGATGGCGGTTCGGTGGAGGCGTAACTCATCGTCCGCCTGTACATCTTGATTCGGAATACACAAGAAATATTGAACAATGGTAGGGTCATCCTTCGGGATGTGGAGGAAAACAAAAGCCTCTCCCGTGCAAATGTACCCGTGTCGAACTCCACTATCGATCATGTATGAAAATATCTGAGTGACCACGGCGGCAACAAGGCGTGTGGCATAGAATTCAAATGTGTCGCCCTCCTGGTCAATGACATCCCCGGCTAGATCCATCTGGTGTAGACCCGCCACTAATTCGGGTATTGTCACTTTATGTGGCGCTTTGAACTCCACCGCGTGCACCGGTATTTGACGTTCATCGGCCACAATATGCACGCAGAATTGGTCGGCGCGTCGATTGCGTTTTCGCGCAGTGCCATCCCTCTTCTGTCTCTGCGCCGCTCCTCTCGCTCTTCCTCTGCCTCTTCCATGCCTAGTGTTCGCCGGCCTTTGGGGTGTCTGCGTATCCTGAAGACTCATTTGCCCCAGGGTGTTCTCTAGTAAATTTTCTGATGGGTTTGCGCGATCATAGAAAGTAACTCGGCCTTGGATCCCAAACTCATGGCAAAGGGCTTCATCGTCTCGCAAAGTATTAATGACCTTTTCGACAAAGTTATCGACTGTGTCTCGCTCAAAATTCCGAAGCGACGTTTCTGAATAGATGGGGTTGTTCTGGATATTCGTGGCGACGTAATCGATTTGGGTATCGGAAGGGAATAGTGGGCGAGAGGTAAAGGCAGCGGTGCGGTCGAATTTGCTCCAGACTTTCTCCTGGAGCTGGGGGAAGTCAAGCCAAGGGACTATGCGCTTGGGGTAAAGTCGGTTCACTGGGTCGGTCGCGTTGCCCTGAGTCGTGAGGGTCGCATCCGTCTCGACTCGGATCGCTTGGGAAAGAGATTCATGGCAGCGATCGAGGAGGCGGAACAGGCTGTTGGGTTGGAGTCGTCGTTCTGCCTCGCCCTGGAGACGCTCTGCCTCTTCTCGCGCCTGTACCTCCTCTTCTCGCGCCTGTCTCTCTTCCTCCTCACGGCGCTCTGCCTCTTCTCGCGCCTGTCTCTCTTCCTCCTCACGGCGCTCTGCCCCTTCTCGCGCCTGTCTCTCCTCTTCCAGCTGACGTCGTAGTTCTGCAATGGTTTCTTCCATCGCTTGTTGATATTAGTATTCAGCAGATAATCGAATGACGCAAATCGAAATCGACATAATGTGGGTTCGCTGTCGCAGAGAGGCCCGCCAGGGCGGAATGCTCCAGTGTTTACCAGCTTACTCACCGCCTTGGCACGAGTCAATTATGCCTCAGGCATAAAACATGCCAAGTCGTCGGGCCTTTTTGATGTTGATGTTCTGAGTCCTTTTGTTTTCTGGAATCTGAAATATAGTCGAACCGATGAATTCGGATAATCTGAACTGGCAACCTGGCTAGAAAATGAATAGATTGAGTCCTGATTCACATTCTCAACAAGTACAGTCACTGTGGCGAGGCCATTATCTCAATTACATCACGCGAGAGACCCCGTTTTCTGTTCTTCAATACAAACAGTCGCTTGCAGCGAGGGATTAATTGTATGACTCGCTGAGTAAGACATTCAATGAAGCTAGTGGTCAGCGACTCTTTTTCAAATGTAGAGAAAGAATAGGTTTACCTTTCTCATTCTCCGTTCTACGGAACACGCCTCTGGTGTACTCTAAGCTTTGGTGATCAGATGCCACGAAATCACTCGCCAATAAACCCTTTAAAAAGTAAAGAGACGCACCTTCCCTGTCTGAGCACTTGGATTTCTCGTCAGAAATAGGCTCTATGAGCAGGTAAATTAGCTGCCTTCACCGGCCTACGAAGGTCATTTGCTGGAGAACGCCAGGAGAACCGACATCTGACAGAATATTTATAGGTTAAGGCTTTGCTTCACGATTATGGGTTCTAATCGAATCGCCAGTCTCGAGCAGGTATTGATGGATCGGTGGGAAAGTGGGTGGGTAGATTCAAGCATCCCGCAGAAAAAAAGATGCGGGCGATGGGGTCATCACTGCCAATAAAGTGTGGCATAATGCATTTCTTGATAGAGAAATATCAACCTCAAATTTTTGACCTACTTTGCTTCTCACCATATACCTCAAAATATGTATTTAATATTTTGTTTCACCGTTGGCAAACGTTGAGTCGTCTGAATTAAAGTCCTGTGCAGGCATCTCTATTGGCATGACGAATTCAACGGTCTGTATCGCCGAAACATATGTGTTCCAACTGGTACCGTTTTCGTTGATCCACGTTGGTGGGGAGCATGCGCTATCCACTAGAATATTATTGTTCAACTGGACGTACACAATGGTTAACCGCAAAGTCACTATGTTCAATAGTAAAGCTCTTGTGTGTACATATTCTTGAGGGTATGGTCCTGAATCTCCACAGAGCCCCACTGATCGCCCACTGACCATCCTCTACTCCGTAGTAAGGCTGAGGAATCGGCAAGGGGAGATAATTTTTCCTTTGGTCCGCCCTGGCCCCAGGGCTCGGAATGGAGCGGAGCGCAGTTTAGAAATTTTTATTGTCAGAGAGCTGGGGGTGCGAGACTAATAGGAAACGCACGGACCTATGGCTAAGGTGGAAAAGGTATTTTTGTTCAACCAATCCCATTCAATCAATCCGACACGAGAGGTCGCTGTTTAAACTAGCACCTTATCACCACTTCTGCGGCCTCAAATTTTTAACCGAAGTCTAGATTGCTCTTTCAACACATCCATTTCCCCTATTCGTTGAAGTCACAATTAGGTGTTCTCTCCATATCCTGCTCATTCAATCCGATCTAAGTGTCAATGCTCTCATTAGTTGAGACTCAACGGTAGTCGTGACAGCCTTACCTCACAAACAAATGGGGTGGTGATGAAGAGAAGCCGCATGATGTATGCAAGTCTAGTTGGTTATGTAGACGTGACTGCCGCAACCTCGGTCTACCCAGAGCTTTTGCGACGGAGGTCTTGAAACCTCAACGACAACTATTTTAGATATGTAATAAACATGATTGTGGGAAGGCAATCGAGATGCTGCAGCATGGTCATTTAGCGAACGCTCTGCTCGTACGTACTCCCTGGTCTGCTCAAACTCCCTGGCCTGACTCCCTGGTCTGCACAAACTCCCTGGTCTGCGCAAACTCCCTGGTCTGCTCGAACTCCCTGGTCTGCACAAACTCCCTGGTCTGCGCAAACTCCCTGGTCTGCACAAACTCCCTGGTCTGCGCAAACTCCCTGGTCCGCTTGAACTCCCTGGTCTGCTCGAACTCCCTGGTCTGCGCATACTCCCTGGTTTGCGCATACTCCATGATGACGTGCAGTCCTGCAAAGCGCTCGCAAGATACGTAGCTGAGACCAACCGCTGTGTATAAACTACGAATTCTAAACAAGCAACATAGCTAATACAGACATTTAGCCATCTAGGCTTGAAAACTTCATCTTTCAGTCCGCGCAGGCCTCCCATCATCCCTAGCGTATGTGGGAGTGAGCACCTTCATCGGTTTTGCTGGTATGGTAGAATAATTTCTTAGCTAGGGACTAAGATCATGGAGCAAGAGAATCTTTTCCCTATCTCGATCAACTCTAGGACACCAGTATGATTAGTCAGAGAAGATTCCGCCTCCACTTTGATCGACAATCAAGATTTATTTAACATTAGTTATTGTCTTTAGTCTTCTACCTGAAAACTAAAGGGTCTTTTTCACTATATCCTGCAAGCCGGTCGCAAATACCGATTTGCTTGGTTTGCGCAGACCAAATATTGACAATAGAGAACTCTATTTAGCGGAGGCTGGTGGACTTTGGGGCCCAGGCATAATCATTTGTGCGTTGCTTAACATTAAAGTAAATATTACTGGTCTCCAGAGAAGTGGGGATCTTCTAAGACCTGAACAAACGGCATGGTGTGACGAAGTGCGAGGCGTAGTTAGAGGGCGTGAATGCATGTTGGGGCCTGAGATTTAAGGCCTGTCCAGTGAAGACTAATCACGTGATCCGCAGCGGCCGCAGCCGCGGTCGCCCAGCTAGCTTCTCTTCTCCAGCTATTATGTACGTACCTTCGTACAATACACGCGATTACTATCAATTTGATATTTGGCACTGGTTCATTACACGTGGGGTTAAAAATAACCTAAACTCTGCTCCAAAAATCAGGGAACCATTGAGGCAGAGCATACATCGGATTTCTTCCTTAGATAGGAGTGCACGCATAAACAAAGTGACTAAAATGCCAGTATCAAATATACACCGCCTGTGCCACAACGACAAAAACGTCTCCTAGAATGCCGCTCTCTTGAATAGGGGATATAGTCAATCTGTACCTTTCACTACTGAGGTTCGTCACATCAAACTGATTATCATTCCGCGTCCATGGACCATTCCAATGCAGCGAGGCTATTCGTCCGTCGTTATTGTGGTATAAATCCATATTGCCTTCAACTCCCACTCCGTAAGTTGCGCTGCCGCAGAAAGATAATGTCCTTTTCTCGTCATGTGGAATCACTATTTTGTCCACGTCTTCGAGAGATAAAAGCTTAGGCGTGTCGCCTTTTTGGTACGGTTGACCGCTGTTTCCGAGTGTAAGTTAGTCCGATTTCAGGCTTGAACGGTGACAGTTATCTTTCAAATACCTGATTGCGGTGGTGTTTTTGATGATAATGTCGCCCTTTGGAAGATCGTTCTGGACACTTATGGAAAGACACTGTGTGACATGATATTCCATCTTCCAGATTTATACTAACACTCTCAACAAACGTAGAGCGTTAGGTAAATATAGGAAAACCTTTAACGATAAAGCTCTAGCTCGCAAAGACGGCGGAGCACTTTCACTTCTAATATAAACATCTGGGTGTCTTTAGCCACCCCCGCATGTTGGTTTCTGGGCTCTCTTCGCTTACTATGTTACGCGTTAAGACCGCAATATTCCAAGGAATTTAAAGGAAAATGAGCGATCGGATCCACCGTTCCGAAGGCCAAGTATGTGGGTATCCAATGCGATTGTTAAACTTTGACAATTCTGGTGTGGGTCCCCTTCGAGACTTTGACCAATAATGAAAGCGGCCGCCTTGGCTCCACACTCTTCCATGCGCGATTAGTGCGTAAAAATATGTCATTGGCCTGGATCGTACTCTGTAGTTATCCCCTGTTAACAGTAATTGCCACCAGTGGCCCAAGCAGTAGCTTAACCCACACCAGGTTCCTCTCTCTGTGACTCTCAAATACTGTAGAGAGTCTGATTAACTCCTGCCCTTTCATAATTACCATTTATTACGGACCCTCGCATAGTGAGCATATTAGTAGTCGGCATGGGCAGACCGCTAAGTACACGGCTGCACTACTGGTTCATTTCTTACAGCTGAACCCTTCAAGCCAAAACCGAAACATTTACTCCAGGCATTGTGGATTTGTCGCTCATATTGTATTACTCTGATGCCGTCTATGGATATATAGGAACAGACAAGATCTACGAATGACCGCAACCCCTTTGGTGTAAAGTGTCAAACCTGAGTGCTGGGCAAAAGACATGGATGCTTCGATCCGGACTCGGCTATTTAGCCATCAGGCCATTTTAATTACTGCTTTCTATGATAAATCATTCGTACGTGTCCGTATAGTTCCCATTTAATCATTAGACAGATATACAGATAAGATATTCTCAAAACATATCGTGATCCCCTTGATACTCAATGTCTTGAGAGCTGGTGATTTCCGGAAACGATTTTCCGGCATTGTGGGCAAGTTGTCTGCATTTCAAACCACTTTTGTAGACAGCCCAAATGAAATATATGCCCACAAAGTAGCCTTTTTGTTCGTAACTTCAGTTCATGACGCGGGGCTTGTGTATATCCCGGTGTCGCTCTCTCGTCAGCAGAACTAAACCCCTTGGTAGCGCAGACTTCTTCCCACGACCACATACGCTCATAACAGATAGCGCACACTTTTGTTTCAAGTATCTGTTCAGCGGTAGCATCGGAACTTTGTTCACTGATCTCTTTAAGTGCCCATTGATATTTAAGGGAATCAAGAAAGCGCGTTATGAGCGAGAGCGAAGAGGAAAATATATGGCTAGTGATGATAGGGCGCTTATAAGAAACAAGGCAGACAAGGAGGTATAATACGCTGATGAATAGCACTGCGCACTCTGCAAACATATTAGCAACGTTAAGTTTTGAATGTGGCAGTTGTATTTACCTCTTATCGCATTCAGGGAAAGCATCCACCGCCGCTTGTCCGGCGGCCCTCCAGAGGAAAACCTCAAGAAAGCCTCCCCAAATAGCGAAAAAGAGAATAGCAGTATTGACACAGCCGATACCGACAAAATTGCATGCTCGAACACAAACATAGTCACAATTTTTGCATCGGTGGTCCGCCGTGTGACGTGGAAGATTCGATTCATCGTGAATGCCTCGAAAGTTAGAGACAACAAGACAGCAACCAATACACAGATATGGGTGCGCATTCGTGTAGTTCGTTCTTGATGGAGCGACTCGACCCTCCATTCTCCTATCCAGACCCACATCCTTGCCGCTATTAGTGCGGTGAATAATAATAGAAATTCTATGTCGACGTCTATGTCGAGGATGATCACTGTCATAATGGACTCCAAAATAGCTGGAACAAATTTAGTGTATAGCTCTTCGCTTTCTGCATGCTCAAATGGGCCGTAAAAAAGGTAGTGAAGCCCGAGAATTATAAGGGAGTTGCATAGGAGGAGAGTATTAACAGCGATCTGTCGACCATTAGAATTATATTTTTCACTGCATCACGGAAAGCCGAACCAAAAATTCTGTATAAGTTGGCGGATAACCAAGAGCTTGGAAGTTTAGGACCCGAGAATAAAATGATGCCATTGCTGTGGCGAGGTTGAAACTACCAGACAATGGGAGAATAAAGCCATTCACAGCGGCCTTGAACTGTTAAATCGTGCGGATGCTTGGGGTGGGGGGAAGAGGGGGGGGGGGGGTGTTTGGAAAGGAAATGGATTAGACTAATGATGTCACTGGTTCTAGATCGCTCTTGCTCACCGGGTGGCTGTGGCAGTAGTTGCGGGATTTGTGCGTACTTGCTCTGTTACGAACCCTGCAACCACCAATTAACTATGGGCGGCAGCTTACTGGTGGCCACCGAACTAACAAAGTTACCAGAAGCCGGATGCTAGCTTCAAGTCACCTGCATTTCCCTATACCTCAGCATCCCCCTAACAATCATTTCAACAACCCTGGCTCAGGCTCACCGAGCAAAGGGGTGAGTGGGACAAGAAGGAATAGGATGGAAGAGGAAACCCAGTACATGTAGGCTTTAGGCCCGTTATTATTATTTTTTTTTGCGGGAGACATTGCCAAGAAAAAAATTAAATTTACGAAACGTCTCCATTGCTTTAGTCCCAATCAAGCGTAGTCTATGTACATAGATGTCATTCTTCGTAGCGTCCGTTTACCTACGCTAGATTCCCCCATGTAAAAATGTTGTTCGCTAAAGAAATTTGGTAATTTTCTATTTCCTGTCGAGTGGTCCAAGGAAGCCAACATATTTAAAAATCCAGGGCGCAAGAAGTCATTATGGAACACGCGAACCCCTTGACGAGGCTAGCTAATCCGCTGAAATAATCCGCAGGAAAGGACGAAGAGGAAGTGATAGTTGGACTGGAGGAGAGGAAACTGAAACTGAAAACCTCACCACCCAGACGCAAAATATTGATGAATCAGTGACAGTTATGACGGTTATTTGTAAACTGAACCCGTTGGTGATATTGCACATAGGCCAGTAGACAAGCACAGATGATCGACCGGCGGACATTATTGCGACTGAAGCCTTCACTCCATATGCTCCACGCGAGAGACAGGATCGAAATGGTCATGAAGATAGGGCGCAATATCTGTACGCTGGCTGCGGCCACTGAGCCAGCAAAGACAAAATCAAGGATGATCTAAGAAAAATTAGACCTGTATATTGGAAAGCGTCCGTGCAAAATGAGACCATACTGGTAACCAACAACATGAACTGGACAATAAAGCAGACCCTTCGGGTAAAATCGACGATAGTAAGCGAAAGACCCGGGCAGAGAGAATTTTATCGTCAGGCCCGGGTTTCGGGGTTTTATCGATAGGGGGCGGACAACTGTGACACGACATATTAAATGATGGAGATAGAATGGTAATCAAATCTAGTTTTGAGGTTATGTTTCTTATAACTATGGTCTAAAATGCGGCATTTTCGCCAGCTTATCTACTATTCACTCTGCATTAGTGTTGAACCCGCTGAAGCAAGATCGTACTCGCTCGGCCGCACAAACCACGCATCCGGTTCCCCATAAACGTCATCTCCGGCGGACTGTTGCTAACCCTGGGACGATGCGCGATTAGTGCGTTAGTGTGGTAAATGCTATGATGCACTCATTCGCAGACTCTGGAACGTTCAAAATCAATTGTCTAATGCAGTCTTCTGAACCAAAGCTCGAGATCTATAAAAGCTCGCCACTCTCTACAAACTAGACATCATCTTTTTGTATCTTTGGTATCTCAGCCTCCCGTCTATCCGTTGTGATGGCTCCGAGTGATAAACTATTGCCGCCTCAGTCGAGGCCGACCACCATCCTAGTCAACAACCTACACTGCCCTTCGTGCGCGACACACGTCGAAGAGACTCTTTCGGCTCTCAAGCCGCCTCCTTTTTCCATTTCGACATCTATCCTTCGACACGAGATAGAAATCGTGCACCCCATTTCGCTCAGCACCGACCGCATCGTGGGCGCACTCGAGGCTGCTGCCTTCGAGGTTGACAGCGTTATTGTCCACGCTAACGAAGTTTATATCGATGCCGAGGCCTGTACCGCAGAACGTCCAAGAAGCTATCGTAGCGAGATAGAACATGATGCCCTTGCTCAATCTGAACTGCACATCGCAAAATGCGATGCATGTTCCGCACAGCTCGATATGCAGTCGTCGAAGAAAACCCCTACCGTTGGCAAGGAAAAAGTCGCCGGCAAGAAAGATCAGCACGGTCTGCAAGAGTCTCAGACAGAAGAAGAAGTTCTAGTGTCCGTTATGGATGACCGTCTCATTGACACTCGGGCGCGAGTCACACTGTCCGTCAGTGGGATGTCATGCAGCTCCTGTGTGAGTAAGATTACCGGGGTCTTGGAAACTCGACCCTGGGTGCAATCGGCCGACGTCAATCTCTTGACAAGTAGTGCCGTTGTCATGGTTCTGGACAAGTCGCACGTGGACGAGTTGCTCGAGACAGTTAGGGGAACAGGTTATGCCACGGAACTGATTGAGTGTGAGGAGATCCGATTCCAGCAGCCATCGAATGCGTCTGGGCTGGGTGATACGTGGCGAGCTTCGTACATCATCCAAGGCATGACCTGTAGCTCCTGCGTCGGGAAGGTGACCGACACGCTGAAGCAGTATGAGTGGATAAACACAGTGGATGTGAACCTCGTCTCCGCCAGTGCGACAGTGGAGTTCCGAGGTAAGGATCGCCTGGGCGAGATTCCTGGCATCATCAACGGCCTTGGTTACACAGTCACCCTTAGCGACGTCGAGAGCAGGACCCTCTCCGGCCAACCCAGCTTGAAGCGGTCGGTGACCATCCAGGTGGAGGGAATGCATTGTCCACACTGTCCGCAGCGGATTATCGATGCCCTAGCCGTCTATTCGGACCGATTGGAAGTGACCACGCTTCCTAGCAAGACACAACCCAAAATTTCCGTGAGCTATCTGCCCAAGGCACCAAATTTTACAATCCGGCATATCATGCGCACGATCACCGATATCGACAAGGCATTTGCCGTTTCGGTCTACCGCCCTCCGAGCCTTGAGGAACGCTCTCAAGCGATGCATCGCCGGTACCAATGGCAAATCACTCGCCGGTTGATTTTGGCCCTACTCGCTGCTATCCCGACTTTTATCATTGGTGTGGTGTATATGTCCCTGGTCCATAGCGACAATCCCGGCCGGATTTACCTCGATGAGCGTATGTGGTCGGGTGAAGCATCGCGCTCTGAATGGGCGCTTTTCATCACGTCGACTCCTGTGTATTTCTTCGCGGCAGACATTTTCCACCGCCGCATGCTCACTGAGCTCATGGCGCTCTGGCGACCCGGAAACAAAACACCTATCTTGCGCAGGTTCTATCGCTTTGGAAGCATGGATATGCTCATGTCACTGGGCACCAGCATCGCCTACTTCTCATCCATTGCAATCCTGGCCATCAATGCCTCGCAGCCACGCGGTAGCCCTAAGGCATCTCATACGGGATCGTACTTTGATGCGGTCGTCTTTTTGACCATGTTTCTGATGATCGGCCGGCTGCTCGAGGCCTACAGCAAAGCCAAAGCGGGAAATGCAGTTAGCCTTCTGGGCAAGCTGCGCCCGACAGAGGCAACACTAGCGGAAGCGGTTGAAGCGGGCAGTCTCTCCACCTCTCCGAACCCAAGCATAGTTCCAATCGACCAATTAGAGTACGGAGACGTTGTGCGGGTGGCGAACGGTGCCTCACCTCCATATGACGGAACTATAGTCTATGGAGAGTCACAGTTCGATGAGTCGAGTCTGACTGGAGAATCAAAACCGGTCTCCAAGTCTATTGGAGACGAAGTCTTTTCGGGGACAGTCAACCAGGCAAGCCCGGTCTTGGTCCGTATGAACCGCCTTTCGGGCGACTCGATGCTGGATCAGATTATCAACGCTGTTCGCCAGGGCCAGATCCGTCGAGCGCCAATAGAGCGTACTGCTGACTTGATTACGGGTTTCTTTGTTCCCGTTGTCACTCTTATCGCGGTGTTGGATTGGGTGATTTGGTTGGGACTTGGTATATCCGGCCAATTGCCCGACTCCTGGAAGGGCGACACCCTAGGAGGCTGGAGTTTCTGGTCGTTGCAGTTCGCCATTGCAGTTTTCGTCGTGGCATGCCCCTGTGGCATCGGACTCGCAGCGCCGACAGCTCTTTTTGTCGGTGGTAGCCTCGCGGCTCAGCATGGGATCCTCGTCAAAGGTGGGGGTGAAGCGTTCCAAGAGGCCAGCAATCTTGATTGCATCGTCTTCGATAAAACCGGCACAATCACTGAGGGCGGTGAGCCATCTATTACTGATCATGAAGTAACAACCAACGAAGGCGTCGATGATCTTTGGGGCGCCGTTATAGAGCTCGAACAGAATACCAGTCACCCGATTGCTAGGGCGGTGGTGTCTTTTGCCACCTCTAAGCAATCACCAGACCTCAAAGTACTTAAGGTGGAAGAAATACCGGGAAAAGGTATGAAAGGCTCATTCGGCTCTCGCAGTCGGGTCTCGTCTGTCCTGGAAGTCATTGTGGGCAATGAAGCCTTGATGCAAGATCATGGAATCGTCATTCCTTCGGCTAATGCCGAAAAATTGAGAGCCTGGAAGCACCAGGCCAAGTCTGTGGTCGTGGTAGGGCAAAGAACCTGCCCGGAACAATCCGCCACCGAAGCAGTCCCCTGGAAGCTCTCCATGATGTTGGCAGTGGCCGACGCTATCCGCACCGAGGCCAAGGGGACTGTCAAGGCTATCCAGGATCGGGGCATCGCGGTGTGGATGATATCGGGGGATAACCCGACGACTGCGCATGCGGTGGGTAGCGTGGTCGGGATCCCTCCAGAGAACATCATTGCCGGTATTCTGCCCGAACAGAAGGCGGAAAAGATTCGATATCTCCAGAAAACCCTGCGTAAGAAATCAGGCTCCGCCCACGCACTTGTCGCGATGGTTGGTGATGGGATCAACGATTCGCCCGCGCTAACCGCGGCCGACGTCGGCATTGCCATCGGTTCAGGGTCGGATATTGCGATCTCGGCCGCTGAATTTGTCCTCGTGTCTTCTCGCCTTTCCACTATCCTGACGCTCATCGATCTTAGCCGCGTCGTTTTCCGCAGGATCAAGTTCAACTTTGCATGGGCGTTGATTTACAACTGCATTGCCGTGCCCGTCGCTGCGGGAGTATTTTACCCCATTGTCAGCAATGGCAGCCATATTCGTTTGGACCCTGTCTGGTCCAGCCTCGCTATGGCGTTGAGCAGTGTCAGCGTCATATCTAGCAGTCTTTTGATGAAAACGCGACTGCCACTGTTCGGGTTCAAATCGGATAATTAACTCCTCGGAGCAGAACATTTTTATTTTGTTTTGGCTTTAGGCTTTGGACCCTGGACCTGCGCTTTTTATGCGCGCTTGAACGGATTGTTGCTAAAGTCATGAAGACCCGAAATGCGCAGTCGGATAACCTGGATTAGCTGTTACGACCGCCGCATTAGCCAACTACTTCAGTGGCTGTTCATAGAGGTGTTATTACTGAAAACCAACCAAGTTCCCAGGAACCACCAAATTGCTAAAATCATGTGCATAATCTAATACTCTATCAACCCCCAGATGTTCGATGATAACCATGTCCACCTACTCCACCAAGGGCCCTTTCTGACAACTGTGTTTCCAGAATCAGCCCCCAATTTACCATCCACGCGCTTTACACTGCCAGGCTATAACGCAAATAACAATGATTAGCATATGTATCACGCGGTATGCATAGGAATATTTAACTACTCCCTATATCTGCTTCGAGGGGTCGACATGGGAGTAGGGACTGCAGGGTATATAAGGACACTACGTGTATTTAGCACTTCGCGATCAGTTACATAGGGTTACTTAATTGTTAGTTACCATTAGCCTACCTAAGCGTATATTTCAGTACCTAAAGTACCTACTTGACGCCCTATCTGGCGCTGTTTCTCTTAACAGCATCAAGTAGGTGTATAGCCGGTGACCAGCTAGATCCGGGTAACATTGGCCCTCACAACCGATATGCCCTGTTAAACAAACCTTTGCTAAGTGTGTGTTCAAACCTAACCAGAAATTTGTTTCTTTCCCCGCTATTTTTGGACTAAAGAGCAATCATTTTCTCTGTTCGGCTTCTCTTATGCTGACGGGTACTTTGGGCACGTATTAAGATTGCATGGGTTAACAGAACGTCCCTGCTATCTAGGGCTGAAGACACCAACCTCCTCTAAAGCCGCGACAACTATATCTGTCCGAGGATGTGACCAATCAGTCACCTATGCCCATGCATTTTGCAGATTCCAGAAACTGCATCAACTCCCTATGAGCCACATCGGAAACTGAAACACCATTACATGAAGCCAAGGTACATATTCTTATCCACAAATTCATGCTAAACCCTCCACCAAGTCACATAACTATGCGTAGTGCCCAAAGGTCAACCGCCCTCGAGTCTTTACCCGACCACAAACAGCACACTAAACGCGATAAGTGTGCTAACTAAAGGCAATACTTTGGCGGCATTTGGTAAACTGCTGCCAGATGTGGCCGACGGATTCATCGCTGAGTGGTTGGACGATCCGACCAACATTTGCAACCGATCTTCGCCTTCAACTAGGACCAGCGCCATCCCGGACTGGCCGCATACTTAGCATCAATTTGCAAATGTAAAACGAGGGAGACGAGACAAACCACAATATGCCACTGAATATGGCAGTGAAGTATCCAAGCCCCAGGATTATCGGTCACATAGCTATTTACCGATTAGTTACGTGGCCACAGGAGTATTCTGGGTGTAGGCTCACCGGATTGCTAGCCATCCTGACGGTGGTAAATTCGCCGTGTCCCTATATGGTGGATCATCGAGGTTGATAATGGATGATGGCGCTTCCGCCACGGACTGATACGGAAATGAGCCACTGCCGGAACCCAGAACCCAGAACTTGTGACCATGAAGATGCATTGGATGGCCCATCTAGGAGAACGTTAGTCAAAGGAGATCGCGTACTTATCATTGGAAGTGATCACACACAGTATCCAGCGAGTCATTTGCGATGTTCATGATAATATCAATAGATGAGTTAGATGGCATATGTAGAGTAGTGCTTGCGTTCCAACCATCTGAATCATTTCCGTAAATAAGTGGAACCTTTGCCTCCGTATAGGGATCCTGGTTTACAACCCAGGTCACAATGTCAGTCTGATTGATTGTAAAAAATCGCGACATATCCGCAGCCTTAGACGAGGGTCTATTGCCTTCGAAAGGTGATAGCCGCGTCTCGGCCAGTTCACGAACCCCCTCCTTGGCCGAGCCATTGGTCAGCATCCAAACGAATGCTGGGTCCACCGAAACGTCTGGTGGATTAATATCCTTGCTATCTGCCTGCGTAGGATGTTAATGAGGATGTCGAATAAATGTGGTTGATCACTAACAGAGTAAGACACTATAGCCTGGCCTTCCAGGACCTGTTGCATATCACCATTGGGATAAGTGGCGAACCTAAGATAGTAGTTACCGGGTTGCTGATCGAGCTTTATCATTACTGAATATCGCTGGCCAAGGGCAATTTCCAGAACCTATGAAAGTATGGAAGTCAGAAAGAAGTATTAGATTCCAGGTTTCTCAAATGATGGACTCACTTGCACCTCCTGCGTTTTAACATAGAGACCATCAGCAGCGTAAATATGCATTGAATGACGGTCAAGTGATACCCTGAGAGCACTGACTGCTCCGGAATTGACCAAGTTAAGAGCAAGCCACCCCTGGGACGCATTTGCTGAGATAGTTAACTGGGGAGATGTAGTATTCGCACAGGTCTCTAGCGGCAGTGTGCTAATATTGTACCCTGGTCGAAACATCATAGGCGGTGTACATCCGCGAGCACCCAGTCCCATTGGCTGGTCCATGCTTGCTGAGCTGGCCATGCTCATCCCGCCTGTCATGGATGTGGTCGGATTAGACGGTCGCATTGTGGACATTGTCATCTGGTTAATGGTGTTGTCACTGGTGCTGTCATCCATCCTTTTCACCATTCCAGACATTTCCATTTCCGCAGATGTGGTTACCAGCGTTGTTGTGGCAGAAGATTGGTTCGCTGCAGTCGGTTGTGAACTTATCCCTAACCCAGGGCCAGCGTCCAGGACGTACTTCGGTAGGCATTCCACCCTACCAAATCCATTCGCAAGGATACTGTCAACGCAGCTAGGGAAGGCACCCGTTCGAAGATAGCGCGCAAATATTGTGTCTGAAAGTTCATGGGTCCAGTCATTCAAGAGGATAGAGACAGCGTTTTTCTCAGCTTGTATCATCCTATCACGATCAATGTCGTGCTCCACTAATCCTTCAAATGGCCTACGGCGGGACGGCGCCGGCCGGACCATAATAGGCCCGCGTACGGCATCATTATAGTATGCGCGGATATGAGAATGATACCAGTAGAATCCGTACTCATTCTTCACCGAAAACCGGTATGTGAAATTCCCTCCAGGTGGTATCGGATACTTCCAAGGTTAAATTAGTGAGAGGCCCTTTCAGGTAGCTGACAAATGTTCAATGCTCACTTGAGTGACTCCCGGAACACCATCCATATCAGGTGTCCCACGTTGTAGTATCCCTTTATTGAATGAGATAAGCACAAATTGCGTACGGTGTCTTTTCTGCATTATAACATACCGTGCCAGTGGAATGTAGTGCTAACTGGTAATTCATTTTTGACGAACACTTCCACATCATCTCCCTCATCAACTTCAATCATTGGACCTGGCTGTTGGCCATTGATGAGATAGACTTCACGTGAAAACCCATCTGTCAACAAATATCAGCTCTGTTTTATACTAGTTGATATCAAACAAATGAGGATACAAACCTGGACTGCGTTGAGCACTGTGCACAGTGAAGTTGAAGGTCTGCAGCCGAGCCAGAACACCTTGCGCTGCAAGGCACGCAAGTATTGCACGGAGATAGAACGCAAACACTGCCATTGTTAAGCTAGATTAAGGGAATAGCGGTGTTGAGGAAGCAGCAGACATTAGGATTTATTGCGCCCGCACCACCGTCTATATGACCTTGACAGTGATTTCACACGCGTGATTTTTGCGGATTTAAGTGGATATTAGTGGACTTTTGGTATCAGGGTACCCACTCCTAGCGGGACGAAAACGAAACATGCTAGGCAGTTTTAGATATTGGTCATTTCAGTCATTGGTGGTGGCAGTGCAAACTACCCGCTTGCCGCCTGCGGCGATCTAACCTAAAACACGTCGCGAAATGTCGCCTCGGGATTGGATCGCATCCCACTCTGTCACCAAATATGAGGGCAGTCAGGAGCACATCAGGCTGCGCCACGCTTTCTTGAGGAAACTTAATGATCAGTTCTACTTACGTGTGCCCTAGAAATTTCAAAGGCCCTGTAACTACCAAACTTTATGACGTAATTTTACGCACTAATCGCGCATGGAGGCGTGTGGAGCAAAATTGGTTAGTCTTTCTGATTGGTCTATAGAAATTAAGCAGGGTTATCTTCGAGCCATCAAAGATTGACAAGAAGTCGCATGAGGATAACCAGTATCTGTTCTTCTACAAACAGTCGACCTAAACGTGTAGCGCAGACAGTCGGATGTGTCCAGTGGCGTAACACTCCTGTATTATTAGCCCTGCAGCCGCCAACTCATTGAGGCGCCGCATCTTTTGGGCAATCGAGGGCCAACCGAATCCCAAGTACTATGCATTAGAATGATCACGTGCAGGACCCAATACCCAGCAGCACCCCCGGGATGCGACAAGAACCATTTCACCCGTTCAGTGAGCTCGCGGTGAGCTGGGCAGTAGACCCGATGGGTTCAAGGACACAGGACACTAGCGAAAGCGGTGTGTATGTCAAGAGGACACTGCTACCAATGCCCGGCCACAATTTACGTCCCAAGATTGGAGGACCGTAACCCAAGCACGTGACCGTGACCCCCAACGTGACTCATTTCTATGGGCGCCCCCAGGTTTTGCACCGCCTTTTTTCATTTTGTGTGTTTATCTTTACATCCTTCCCCATTCCATCTCCATCGTTGCTTGAAATGTATAGGTCAACATAGTACTTGTAACGTGCCCAAAATATTCTCTGGCATGTTCTTTAGGATGGGTCGCAAGAGTAAAAAAACTCTTTGTACGGTCTCTTCAAGGACATAGCGGCATCATACTCCTGGGACAAAGGAGTTGCCTCCCTGGAGTTGCTCCCTGAAGCGATGGAGCATGGAAAAGATTTACGCAGCCTTGTCTTTTGGGTATAAAAATGCCCTAGGAGATACATCGTGGCTCCTAGGGGCTAGTGATAGCATCCGAGGAGTCCTCGCTGCGGTCCTAGGAACAACATAAGGCACTCCCAGGACCCGTTTGTCCCTAGGAATTAATGCGACGAGCCCTGGGAACGACGGCTAACGGCCCCAGGAGCTTCAACTATTGCTCCTGGGAGAGCATATTCTATATTAAGTTGTCGCTGCATATAGGTAAAATTCGTGATTTATTATCATTGGAGATCATTCTATTTAGTGTGCAGCTAGAAGTATATGTCTCAAAACAGAATCAGGAGCTCCGGTACTTCGTATATCCTCGCTTTGCGCAACCCGGCGACCGGTGCAGGAGATATTGTTCTTTTCGAGGAGCAGCACGAACAAGTTCTTCAAATGGTTGAATTTCTCGAAGAGCAACAGCTGTGACTCTCCATAGGAGATGCGCCTCTCCTTCGTTGCGTTCATCGATGAGGTCCCACTGAAGACGAACGTTAGAGTCACCTCCAGGAGCTGATACGTTCATAAAGTTGAGTACTCCCATCACCATGGAGTAATCTAGCCAAAGATTTTCTTCAGGACCAGGTATTCCGTAGACGGCATTACAATCAGAAGAGTACCGAATTTCTCCAGCAAATCCCCCAAGAATGTCTCCCTCCTGGACGGTAATGGTAGGGCAAACCATGAGAAAGACATCATCTTTGGGTTGCATGGTGACAAAGATAGACTTGTTCCGCGTTGTTTCTGCCTTTGGCTGCAAGTCAAAAAACCCACCGAGCGATGTAGCTGATGGCTCGTGTGATCCGCTCAATTGAAAGACTGTCTCCTCTACACTTGAGGACCACCGGTTGATAGCGCTGTTCCATTCAATTTCTGAAACATTGAGCCTGTCCGCTACAAACGGCTGGCTCAGCCACAGTCTTCCTGTCAAATCGCCCTTGCTCTCTTCGGCAACCCGTTCTTCCAGTTGTTTGATATAGAAGCCATACTTTTCTTCCCAGAGCCGGACCATCTCTACCAAAGCAGCCCCAGCTTCTGATGAATAGCTTTTACAGAAGCGGTCGAATTCTTTTGTGCGGTATAAGAGGATCTTGTCAGCACCCGCGTTACGCATCTGGAACAACCGTTTCCAGAAAAGACGGCACTGCCGTTGATTAGCGAGGCTAAGCCCATAGCCTGCTTCCCTCATGAAGCGCTCAGTGGCGACCTTCTCTGCCATCGTGAATTCATCGAGAGGGCCTCTAGAGGTTGGCAAATCCTTTGGGTCAAGGAGGTCCGCGCCTTTCTTGATTATTTCCCAATAGACGGTCTCGTTAAATCGAGACTGGATACCTTGGCTTGCGGAAAATGCATTCTCCTGTTTAATTAGCTGGACTGCATCGGTATATTGCAGCTTGACTATTCCATCCACAAAACTCTGGATCTCCTCAACCTTCGTTGTAATATTTGCCTGCTTTGAACGGTGCCCGTACCTTCCAAGAGGGTCATTAAGTTTTATACAGTTGACAAGTATGTTTTCGACAATACTGTGCCGCGGTTCTTTAGAGCGAGAGGTGCTCATGTCCGTCAAGGGTGTCCCGGCCCGAGGGAAATTCACCGTTGTGCTCTCTTCATCCGTCAACGGAGACTCTGTTGGTCCGCCTCCTAGGGGTGACACGGCGTAATTCACCCCTTGCGGCATATCTTTGAGGGTAGTATTGTCCTTCACCTTGCCTCTGCTCTTTCTTTTCTTCTTATGAGAAGGCGTTTCTAGCCCAGAGTAGTCCACTCTGCCTCGCTTATCATGCGTGGGAAGTAACCGGTAAGAGCCACGCTTTGCATCGGGGTTCGGACTAGCTCTAGGGGTAGGAAGAGGTGGTGGATCTGTGATTCCTACCTGCAGCCGCATTTCGCGGACTATGCTTGTCAGCGGAGATAGTCGCTCGAGCCGCAGTCTGGGTCTCACCATAGTCAGAAATGCCAAGGATGTGTTGCTTGATAGGCTCATCGCTGCAGTCACCAATACCGCAGCTTACTAAAAGCTCCTGTATTTTCCCTGCTATCAAAGACTGGATAATTTCCTCCATGATGTACTTTGGTGTGGATGGGAGTTCCAGCCAGGAGAAAGAGAAGGGGGAAGTCAGGCTGCCGCTATTTCCTGTTGCATGGGTGACACTAATCTGGATTGGGAAATCTGGGGTCTAGACCGTGGCCAGCAGAAGGATTTGGAAAGTTCGAGAAGGCCGAAATGTGAAGCTTCAACTCACTTCTCTTAGTTAGCTACCATACTTTAAACGAGATCGACTTCGCCGTTACAGTACCTTGCCTGTATGCAATTGTGGGCACGGCGTTGCTTTTGGGACGGCGGTCGCATTATGCGGTTGTTTCGTCGAACCTGCACCTAGGTCAGTCTGAATATGCGGGGCAAAGCCATGGAAATGCAAGACGAAGACCACTCAAAATTCTCCGTGTCCAATCTACGGCGTTACTGTACAAAGAAATAATTTGGGAAGGGCTGCCATGGAGACTCTGAGCAAAGTAAAGACCAACGCTAAGCCCTTTACTAAAGTAGTTAGTCATCTATGCCTTATGTGAGTTACGCGTGACGTCCGGAAATACTTATTTTCCGAACATCGGGGGCTAGGAGCCGTGGTAGAAATGTCACCGTTACAATGATGCCGTTCCTGACTCTGGATTGGGGCTTCAGATGCCTGAATACACCTGCCAGCACATGCACCCAGCTAACAAGCGTCTCGCCCCGTTGGTGTTTTTAAGACTCGGTATCTTGATCAGTCCTGCAGGACTCAGCACTCCCGCAGTGTCCGACTGCTCTCAGAATTCATGGGCGTCGAATGCCTTGTCCTAGGTTCTTCCGCTTGCCGCCCTTCCCATAATTTCAACATTCATATTACCGTGAATCAGGGGATCCATCGAAGAATGGCTGATTAATAAACTTATGTATCATATCGTGCAAGAAAACGTAAACTTGTGGAAGTACATGACCGAATAACTTATTCAAGAGTTCCATGGCAGATAGCTCTTAGATGCCACTCTCATATCTGTATCATACTACTCATCAGTCCCGAAAGGTTTCAGCGTGCCCGAATCCTTTCCCACAGCCTGAAGGTCAGACCTTGGCCGAATTTCCACCTAAAAAATAATTCCCATTTGAGCCTGCAGTCGATTGCCTTCTGGGACGATTCGAAGACCTCCTGGTGGGGGCACCGTTTGCTATTTGGGCAGCTTCCTGCTGCGCTGCCAGGTATGATGCTTGAGAGCTGCGGAGTTGGATGATTCTGGTCAAGGGGTCATAATCGCCATCTTCCAACGAGGAAATGCACGGGAAGATATTGAGAATATAAAGGCCTTGGAGGTCCTGCGCCGCCGGTGTTGTATTCTCACCAGCGAAAGGAAAACGATCCCACTCGCTGTCATCGGGGTCAAAAGATTCGTCAAAGTCTGTCATAAACTTCTGTCGCGATCGCTGGATTGGCAGCCAAGCTTCGGCGGCGGTTTGAACTATTTTTTTAATCTTAGTACAAAACATATCTTGCTGCGACTCGGGAAAAAGGCCGCCTGCATAAGAGAGCATTCTCTGGACTACAGCTCCAATCTCGGCTTTAAGAGCGTTGCGTTCAGCATCCGGATCGATCGAGAGAAGCACGCGACGGCAAAACGCTTCTTTCTCGCCATAACTACCTGCAAGATGTTCGAGAGTTTCACGAAGATTGTTGCTCTTCGACAGAAAATAGCTGGGTTGGAAAATCCGTTGATTAATCTCCCTGAAGAAAATAGCCAGGATCAGTGCAAAGCGTATTGCCTTGGCAGCCGAGGAATTTGAGGGAATCAGAGGAAAATTTGGTGGTAGAATAATGTCCCCCTTCCTAAGTTTCTCCCAAATGGTCTTTCCCTTTTTAATCTGTCAGTAATGCGCACGAGGAAAAGCTCCCGAAAACCGACCTTAAGAATATTTTCCGGAACATCTTGCTCTATGAATGGGGACAACTCGTTTGTAGCAGAGGCCCAAAGGCTTGTGAACTCAGTCGTCCTATGGCAAGGGACGGGAAAAGTCAGGTCACAAGTGCTTGAAACTCTTTGACACAACTTACACAAAATCATCATCAATGTCCGAGGATTGGACTATGAAATTGTCCATTCTTTGGATATGGGCCCTGACTGCCTGCAGCTCTGTGCTCATCGAGGCATTAGTAGCTTCTAGCTCTCCGTTCTTTTTCTGTTCCGATGATAGCACACATTTCAATTTCGACCCCGCTGTCTTCATTTGATCTATCATCTTGTCCTTCTCTTTCGAATTGTTTTGCAGTGTAGTGATGTCTTTAGCAGATTGTGAGAGCTTCGCGTCCTCCTGCGAGCAAGTCGATTTCAAATCTTCGATTTCCTCGTGCAGAGACTCTACATTCCTCGATAATTCGGCGATTTTGATTTCCCTCTCGTGAACAGTAGCACGAAGGGATTCAATCTGAGTGGCGGAGGCTTTCTGCTTTGCTCTTTCTTTCTCGTTGGCAGCAAACATATCGTCGATGGTAGTTTCTTTTGTCTTCTTTATATGTGATATCTCCTGTTGGAGTTTCTTCAACTCTTCATCTTGAGAGTAAATCTCCTGACGCTTTTGAGCGATCTCGCCAAGCACAGCAGATGCAAACTCAGATTCAGGACTTGAGGCCAGTATACCTAGATATTTAATAAATCCTTCAAGTCTACCAGTGCTGGCCAGAGGTAGGTCATCGTTTTTTCCTGAGTTCAAGGATGAAGAATTGGTGGGCGGCATCATAAAGAATTGCTTTGATAAAATGTGGGATTCAGAAGCGTTGAGAAGCTGTGTGGTCTCAAATTTCCGTCAGAAAAGAGAGTTAATATATTCATAGTCACCTCATGAAGATGTTCGCTCTGCGGCAACAGCTTGGAAGCCAACGAGCCTCATGGTGAAGGGAAGGAGCAGTGATGCGGTTCATGCATGCAAGTGCAGGGTAGTTTGCGACGTGTAAGTGAGCCTATGGTCGTCAGCCACGCGACTTATGGCAAGCAGATGCAGAATATTCAAGACATTACGTGTCATTTCGACTATGGTCGCATCACCAAGACTGTTGCAATTTTGGAGATTCTGCGAAGAGCCAGGAAAACCACACATAGCTGAGGTACAAGACAGCCATCGCATTGATGGCCACTGCGGGGACCCACACTTCTAGCGCAGCTGAAAGGCCAATGAGACCAGTCCTCAGCGAGGAGTCCTCACACGACAGCATGGGTGACTGGCTGGGAATCGCCGTCCGCAGCCCCTGGTCGCCTCTAGGCTATCTCAAGGCTGTTATAGACCCAGAATGATTGGACTAGGAGAGGCGTAGAGTGAAGATCCAGCTCTTATGGCGCCTGGCCTTTTGTGTTTCACATGCTCTCCGGGCGTCGCTGCTGTGACGGATTTCCTCTTAAGAGGAATCTCCCATGAGGCGACCCCTCTCGAAAGGCGCCTCCTTTGTCCTATCTTTCAAGTGGCCTCAACTCTTGACATGAAAGAGTCGGACCATGGCATGGTAGATAAATCTTACATAAATCTAGTAGATACGAGCACTGTATAGACACATGAAAGGCTTATCAGGACTGAAATAAGCGGTAGTCTTGAGATAAGTTCTATGAACGAGCCCAGCCGATAAAATGTTTCTGATGACGGAATTTGGCCAAGGAATGAATTCTCAATAATCTTTTTTTCTTGAGAATTTGCTCTGATGACTCAGATTATTCTTGAGAATTCATTCCTAACCCAACTAATATCTTGAGAGCCATTTTCCGTGCTGTATTTGGTCCCAAGAAAAGAATCACGAGTCTCCAGCCTTCCTTGGAGTATTAGAGACTTTCGCTCCGAAAGCGAGGCCGTTTATAAGGCTTTGGCTTTCTCACTCGGCGAATCTTTCGATTTTTTTGACAGTTTTGAGAATACCATCATGCGTTTTGAATCTGTCCTCGGCCACAAGTTTTGCCTCTGTTTCTCTCGAAATCACAAAAACGGCGTTGGTCGCGTCCGCGATTCCCGCGCGAAAACACATCTGAGGACTCAGACTGTTTAAAGATTTAACATAGATGGAGAACCCTTTCCTCGTGCATTTTTTCCTATCATGGGCGAGAAGCCCTATTTATCATTCGTCGAAGGGAAAATTCTGCTTTCTAATCTGAAAAACAACTAGTCACCATACATATTATACAAGCTGCCGGTGGAGTTTCGCCAGTTGATTTTCGGCATCGAGAGCATGATTATATATAAGAGGACCTGACGGTGGGTTTGTCCATGAGAGGTTTTCTTGGAAGCCACCTGAATCGGCGAAAGTCAACAGTTGCAAACAATATATCGACCAAGAATCCAGTCCGGCTTGGATCTCTCAAGACAGATCGTCCCGAGATAAGCCAGATCTTTCAGATATTACAGGCACAAGTCGCCGGGGGGACATTTGTTTTCTACATCCGCTAGCCATGCTCATCATATGTGCAAAGCAATCAATAAACTGGGGCCAGCTATGGCCTGAAGATCCACGATTGCCGATACGACTTGCGGAATCGTTTTTTATATGTCCCTTAAAGTTGCTGAAGGTGGACGAAGTCCTAACCCTGGGGTTGATTCTCACCAGATTCCCACCCACAACTTTACCAGAACAATTCTGACTCCAAGTCTGGCCCACAATGCGGGCCTGGGGGAATCTGAGACAAGGTCGCAAGAGGTATTTTGTGTGCGTTGCTACGCTGCGACATGGTTTTCGGTCTTGCGACACGGCTTTCGGTGCGGCCAAAAGAACCTATTAACTATGCGATGACGTACACTTCTCGAGAAACCATGCGCCTGAACCGCCACCAGACCCACATGTGTGGGGAAGTGGTAGCTCCGTTCCTGGCCCTCAAAAGAGTGCCGCAGGAGGTTTGCCATAGCGATCTAGACTGGGCTGAACCAGCATCAGGGAGATCTGAAACAATGTTGCACGAAAGGGCCCGTGTTAGTTCCTTTGCGGCCTCCTCAATGTATCTCCCCATGACGTGCGACACCTTTCGCTGTCGGCAGGCGGCACGAGTAGCTGCCGAAAATGGAACAGCAGGTTGACTCAGCGAGGGCCATGTCGAAGCAAATCAATTCGTGCAGTCTCGTTCTCACCTCGGCTCACCTTCTAACTCACCCTCAACTACTATCCTCCTCCAAAGCACCAACGTGGATTCTAATGTTCGGAGCATCGCAGTAGAGCAAGAGTAGAAAGCACAGGCCATTCCTAGCGATTAAAAACCATGGCGGACCCGAGAATCGTAGCTTTTGGCAAAAGCAGCATTTTAAAAGCGCTTTTTTCCTTACTTGATTTTCCCTGGGAAGACACATCTGTCGTTCATGATACAAATACTTTGCCATGACGCAGTCGTACTACTTGCCTATAATACTTCAAACCACTCAGTCACAATGGCCAGAAGCTCCGGTGAGCAGTCTAAGGCTTACAGCGTGGCCAAGAAGTCACTACGACAGAAAAGAGATCGACGCAAGATGTCCCTAGAAAAAAAGTCGCACGAGTACAGCCAGTTGTGCGGCGCAGATGTATGCCTAGGCATTCGGATTCGAGAGTCAGGGAAGGTATTCATCTTCTCCGCGGATACGTCGGGATTTTGGTCCTTTCTTGGCCCTCATCTGGTATTCCTCGAGAAGCTTCGATCACTTTCAATACATTTACTTACTTTGATAGGGTGCTTATTATCCAACACCAATACAGAGAACCGAGAAGAATTTCTAAACGGAAAAGAACTTCGGTGGGGACAATAGATATGTCTATGTACTTCCTGTGACATGAAGCATGAATAGCATGAAGAGCTTGAGCAAGCCTGCAACAGCGTAAAGCCAATTGTGATGGCGATCCGATGATTGGCGCCCATGGCGGCCATATCTCAACTAACATGTATCCAATGTCGGGAAGCTGTGGTAAGATGGCTGCAGCCTTAGGCACACAGCTTTAGAGCAGGTGATCTGGGGCCAAATCTTTCTGGCTGTGGACCTACGTCCACAGCTCTCGGTCGAGCTTGGCTTTCAGTCTGCCAACTGGCGTCCAAGGTAGCTTTGCAGCCATGGCTGCCTGAGGTCTCTTGTTTTAGTTCGGTACCTGTTTTAAATCTCCAGATTCTCTGCCCACTGTTTCACTAGGCTCGAAATTAGCTAGCGCGCGTCCACCTGGAGACGGCAGATAGTGGATGACTAGTTATTTAACTTGCGATTGCTGCCGAGTGACATTTTTGACAGCGATTACTGCCTTATATCCAGGGCCGCTATGAAGGCGGCGGCTGGCTCAAATACAGTTTACCATTTCCTTTTTTATTTCCGGCCCCTCAATTGCTAAACGGCGGCCTTTCTACCCGTATCCTTAGACGGCGAGCCGCTCCTTGACCGTCCGAATCCCTGAACTGGGAAACAAGGAATACCTTGAGCATTATTCTCGCGATATTGTTATCAAGATAACAATCCTGACGGAGGGTACTATATTCAAGTTTATCCAGATCGAATTATTTTGGGTGGGCTTTGTCTGATATGATTGGCTCGATGTTATTCCAATCTCCACCTTACATTTATTTACGGCACAATACGGAGTATTGACTAGTTATTTACCTAAAGTGGTTAGCGTTTATCTTTACTTTGCTCAGAGTCTCCAGGGCAGCACTTCCCAAATTATCTCTCCACATTGTACAGTATTGTTGTGTCTCCTGGAATGATTATGTTCGTGCCTGGGAAAATGCAAGGGATCACATGGTGGATGACACACCCAGGACCTATCCAAACAGTATGAAATCTGTCAAGGAAAGCAAGCAGACACCCAGGTTGATAATACGATCATTTATTAGTCTGTATTCTAAGGTACAATGCAAATCAGAAGAGCTTGATCATTGTGGATTCGGGTCCTCCGGTTTAGCCCGATAGCTCGGGATGTAGCGGCGGTGGTCAGGGTGAAATAATTTCTCACAGAGACCCGGGGCATGCGAAGGTATATGGAAATGCACGGACCTACGCTCATGGTGGAGAAAGTGTTGTCAGATGGCCAATCTCTTCCTACCATACACTGATTTGCGCAATTTTCCTACAAAAAACGAACAATCGTTGAATGTTCAGTCAAAGTGTCACCCGGCGATCTTTTTTGCTCACGTTGAGCAATAGCTGAACCCCCAAGGCATTCTGTTTTTGTTTCCATTTGACAACAGTGCTACACTTGAGTGATTCGTTCATTGAGTGATTCGTGCATTGAGTGATTCGTGCATTGAGTGATTCGTGCATTGAGTGATTCGTGCATTGAGTGATTCGTGCATTGAGTGATTCGTGCATTGAGTGATTCGTGCATTGAGTGATTCGTGCATTGAGTGATTCGTGCATTGAGTGATTCGTGCATTGAGTGATTCGTGCATTGAGTGATTCGTGCATTGAGTGATTCGTGCATTGATCAATGATCGCTTATCCAAGGCACAGGACGCAGATATGGTGAAGATGCACGTCGAACACGAAAGGAAGGAAGGCATAAAATGCGTACTGTATATACACATCTTCATGGTTGCCAGTGAGAAAGGGATGTGGGGTGTGATGGGCTGAGAGCGGTTAATGCTTGTCTTTGTTCAGATACAATTGAATATTTTGGCTCTTGCTTATCCAACTTGATCTCCAAGTAGTCAACTACGCCTCTGCCCTCTCCCACCCGAACCAACCAGCATGAAACTGTAAACATACTACCACAGGAAGTATTCTCGAGACCTCTTCGATTGTTTGCTTCTATTTATACA